TTATAATAGTTTTGTGTTTTTGATGCAAATAAATCAATAATTTTGGTTGACAATTTGATGGATTTTTATCTCTTTGCTTATTTCATTTTGTTTTAATTATTTAATACTATTATAATGTTTTAACTATGTCCTTTTTGAAATTAATATTCAAAAATTCATTTCTTCACTCTTTGAATTTTTGGCACGTGCACATTATTATTCATGTTTTTTGTTAAATAAAGTGTTTTTCAACAACATTTTCAGTGTTTTGTGAAACAATTCACACGCGTTTATAAATTCAAATAAATATAATTATGAAGCGTGTCTCCCATTTATTAGCCTAATATTTTATTTTGTATGTTATTGGTTTATATGTATGTATGCATATATTAATTTATAAACTGTCGCTATATATTTTTTGTTTTTGCTATATTGTTTTTAAAGAGATGAAGGTCCATTACATATTAAATTTGTGTATTAAGTATTGAATATACGAGTTAATTGTGAAAATATGAAAAGTTTTACTCGAATTGTTTTCATAACTAACCAATTTATTGTATTGTATTTATAGCAACTTCGGTTATTATTGCATTTTTGCATAATCCTTAAGCCATTACAATATTTAACCTATATGTTTCTTAGTATATGGTATACATTTTCATGATAGGTACATACATATATAATAAGTTATTATAATTATAGGGGTGTTAAATTTCTAGGACTACATTCAAGTATACATTACTAAATATTTGTTTGTTATATAAACATTTTAAAATTAGTAAAGTGATTTTTAGTTACAATATCATTAGATTTTATTAAGTCCATATATTCATCACATTATTTAGATATAACTTGTAAAAATACTTTATATATATATCAACCTAACACTACTTTATATACATGTAGCATAAACAGTAAAGGTAAAGTACTTACATAATTGTTAGTAATTGAACTATGCATTATATACAATATTTTCAATTTCGCAAATTTAATCTAAAACCAATATATATTTTATCAAAATGTGATAAAATATCAGCTGTCACTAGCATCACTTGCTACTATAACTATATCGCAATAGTAATGTGTGATATAAATATAAATGAAAAGGAGGAATATTTCAAGAGAACTAAAATAGACACAGAATTATTTAAATCAGAAGTGGCATACAACTAAAAAATCAGAAGTGGCATACAACTAAAGAATCTGAAGTGGCATATAACTAAAGAATCAGAAGTGGCATACAACTAAAAAATCAGAAGTGGAATTTGATTTGAAAAAAAAACACAAGCGGTAGGCTAAACTACAGTTGTGGTACAGACAATCGGACGTTGGGCTTTATAAAAGCCACAAGCACTTGATTGCATAATTATCTAGCCCTATTCTCATTCCATAAGAAAAATGTTTTATGCAAACCAAAGGCCTTAAAAACCATTTCATGTGGTTTATGTTTTAACTTTTATCTCTAATCTCTAGATGCACTCACTTGCTGAACTACTGCTGCTTTAGAGTTAATTCTTACTTTTATTTTATATCTTGATTTTACCATAAATTATTTTCTGCTTGTTGTTTCTATGATTCAAAAGGTGTTTTATCAATAAAACTAATAATTTATTGTAACCTGTCTTCTTTTAACTTCCTGAAGGTCAACTATTATCTATGTGCATACAAAGTTGTGAAAACCCTTTTAAATGTAAACATTCATATATACATACATATATCAAATTATATACTCTCTACCATTTATAAAATTAGACATAACCTATTTTCTATCTGGTGGTAAAAGTTACTGTCTTTTGCTCTCTAGCTCTTCTATATAAATTATAAAAATCGTCAGCGCATATGTAACCCTGAAGTTATTACAACTTATGCAAATTCATACTCCGATATATATTTCAATCATGCAAATTTATTTGAAATTGTTATGAAGCACTATCAATATGGTAGCGCCACAAAATATGCTATGAAATTCAAACAAAATGAAATGCACTTCAAAAGCCAGTTATTAAAGTAGTATGCCTAAAAGTATGCAATGGTTTCCTTTAATATCTACTTAATTCTTAACCCTTTTTGCTGCTAACTGTGAAAACTGTTATTATTGGTGAAAAATTTGGTGTCTTTTCACAAATCATAATTAAATCTAACCAAATAAAAACACAAAAACATATATATATTTTTTTTTCATATATTTAATAAATTCATTCGATTATGTTTATTTAGATATATAAGTTGAATATTTAAAATTTTCGCACATACGTACAATACATGTGCATGCGAGTGCAGTTTTACGTACATATGTAACTAACTAATAATATTAAATCTTACATTATACTGACGCAAGTCTGTTTATGGGCTTAAAAGTAATACACATAATTGTTGTTTGTATAATTATATTGGACAAAATAATTTTACATATGGAGAAAAGCTTATAAATATATTTTATGCAGCTTTGTTTTTAATATACGATATTAGCTAAAAATTGATAAATTCGAACACGACGTGACATACATATACTTTATTTCTTTCTTAAAAATAGTTATTTAAGAAGTTGCGCAAAATGTTTATTTAAAGTAATACTACAATTATATGAGAAAAAAATAAATAATTCAAGATATTAAAAACTTTATTTTTTAATGCAATAATTTGAATAACTTTTCTGAAAAATTTGGCATTATTGAGCAAAAAGTACGGATTGAAGCAAATAGTAGAGGGAGAAAAATTAAACATATTAAATGTAGGAATGAAAAATATTTAAAGTTAAAAAAAAAAATAAAATTATGCATTAAATAAAGTTAAAGTGTAGAAATTAAAGCTAGGGACAAAAACTTCTTAAATCATTACTGCTATTTTAAGCGACTTTGTTCAATTCAATTCAAACTGAGTATCAGGTCCAAGATAAATTTGCTAAAATTTTTAAAATAAATATATTTTTAGTAAAGCGCTAAAATTTGAAATATTGACATACTTTCACCGAGTAACGAAAGCTTTTGAATTTAATTTATTTAAGAGAATATTCAAAATCAATGTAAGCAAATTAAAAATAACTTTTAAAATCTTTAAAATGTTGTTTTTTGTTTGTTAGACTTTAAATTTAAGCCAAATTAGAAAAAGTGTATATACACAAATTGCTAGAATTAATTAATATTTGTAAAAAATTTGAGCCCGAAAAATAGGAAATATCCATAGAAGAACTGAAATTGAAGCATATATTTGTTCCTCAACACAAGAATAATGTCTAAGAAAGTATTTTCTTTCAAACGAAATACATATTTATTTATTATAATTACAGCAGTATTTGTCGCAGTGTGAATTTTTTCTTATTTAATATATAATATATGCCATTTCTATACAGGATATGCTTTTAGATACAGTTTTGTGATGCATTTTTAATGATATAATTTTATTTAAATTAATATATTTCTATTAAAATATTATTATAATTAAAGTAATTTTTATATTTTAATTATTATTTTCAATGCATAACCCTTGTGTGACAGCTTATATGTTTGCATATATGTATAAGAAGTAATGTACCTATTTACAATTAATCAAAGGCAGTTTATATGTAAGAATTTACTAATAAAACAATATAGCTAAACATATGTATGGAAGAGATAATATTTTGTTATGTCGCGTGTTTATATATTCGGTTTTTTAATGAGTTGTAAATACATACATGCATATACTTATGTATGTATGTATGTATGTATGTATGTATGTATGTAGTATGTGCTATATACATGAGTGCATATTAATTTCTCTGATTTATACGCTTAAAGTAGAATTGAAATAATTTCTTTTAATTAATTACACCTAAGTGTCATGAAATTTATGCTATGTATGCCATTATTTTGTCACTTTATAACTACACACCTATGATTATATATATTTTTTTAAAGTTTTCCGTTTTATTTAATTAAATTTATTGTATTTATTGTAGTAATTCTTGATCATGATTTCTTGTTTTCTTACTTTAATTGTAAACCTAAAGGTTTTGTCACAATTTTCTTTTTCTTAAAACTGTTACTACTTTTTTTGTTACAAATTTTTCTTTCACACTCTTTTCTAACATACATATCTATTGTACATATGTAAGTAAAGTTATGTTTATTGTGTTTTTCTTACATTAATTTTTCCTCTAAATATTGATTTTGTTAACATTTTATTGTAACTCACTTGCTAACTATTAATGTTTATTGAATTTTGCCACTTACAACAACTACAATAATATATGTATAATACATACATACATGTTTATGTAAGATTCCTTCAAAATACACTCATACAAATGCAAACATACATGTTTTTAATTGAATATTTTCATAGTCTAAAGTGTGCATATAATATATGTATACAATATATATATATATATATATACTATAGAAAAAGAGCATAGGGACAAATGCGGAGTAGAAAAGGTAGCAAGGAATGTCGATTTTCGGATATTATCTTTTTTGAGTTGTTCCATATTTAAATCAATTGGAAAAAATATTTCACTGATTTTTTTTAGTTGATTTTAATAATATTAATTTTAATTATATTAATTTTAATTATATTAATTTAAATTTTATTTATTATTTCTTTGTTATTTTTAGTTATTTTTATTATATTCATTCAATTTTATTTTATTTTATTACATTTTATTTAATTCTATTTTCATTTTATTTTATTAAAATTTACTTTTGTTATTTAAATCTATTTAAATATCATATTATCCATTTTATATATTTTTGCATTTTATATTTATTTATTAATTTGTTTTATTGAACTTATTTCTATTTTTTTAATGTTAATTTTTAATTTAATTTTTTTTTTTTATTTTATTTAATTTAATTATTCTTTTCATTTAATTTAATTTATTTTAATTTAATTTATTTATTCTTATTATTGTTAATATCTTTTTAATTCCGACTAATTTCTTTATAAAAATTGTATTCAATAAAAGATTTGCCATACTATCTTAGCAACCACTTTCCTTGCTCTTTTTCCCACCCATCAAACGCACTAGTTTTTTTTTTTTTTACTATTTATTATGCCACATATGCCGTGTATTGCATGATGCCACATACTGTGAGCGACGGCGAACACAAAGGCATGCGCATTGTTTTGACATAATCAAAGTATGATTTACCTAAATTAATTTAATTTATAATTTTCTTCTTAATTAAATTTATTCTCACACACGGTGCGCTTCGTTTGCGCCGCCTACTTCCACTTCTAGCTCCAAAAATCCACCATATTGACTAGTTTGCATTTTTTGAGCTCAAGTTTTGTGGGTCGCGCGCGAAGTCAAGCACGTCCGAAGATTGCGGACACATCGCCCGTCGACTGTGAGTGTGACATATTGTTGCTGCTGTTACTGTTATTATTGGCGCCATTGCCATTACTGTTACCATTCAGCCCATTACTGCCATGGTGTGCAGACACATTGCCCAAAGTTGTGCTCTGATGCATGAGATGTCCACCAGTGCCGCCGGTACCAGAACTTCCGCCCAAGCCCAGACCATATTTACTGGAAGAAGTGGCTATGGTGCCACTTGTAATGAGATGCTTACGCGCTGCCGTGCCGCTATGCGTCAGCCCATTTGTGCCGTAAATACTACGTTGCAAGGCATATTGTGGCACAGCATCCAAATCGGAGACAGATGAAGTGATCTTCGAACGTACAGCGACTTTTTGCATGCTACTGTACTTGTCACTAGCGCTGAGCTTAATGTCTGGCAGATGTCCAGATGAGCTGGCATGATGCGCATGCTGTGTTAGGCCATTACTGCGCGATTGTGTTGTGCTGGTCGCTTTGCTGGTTGTCGTTGTAATGGCTGCATTGCTAACTGCTGTAGTGCTGGTAATCGAGGCGACCACAGCGCCATTGCCGCTATTACCACCACCACCACCACCACCGTTGTTGTTAGTAGTGTTTCCATTACTGTTGCCATTTGTTGGTGGCGAGACTTCAGTGAAACTGTAGCAGGATGATTTTTGTGATGAGCCATTATTGAGACCACCAGTCGATGATGAGTTGGTCATGCGGCAACTGCGATGACGAGTAGATGAGGAGAGTTGCAGGAATTCATGATGTGCGGCCTCGTCCGGTGTCATACGCTCCGCTGGATCCCATTCGAGACAACGTTGTAGGAAATTGATGAAATAACGATCTTGGCAGAAGAGCATTTGTGATAGTGATTTGCCGCCAGGTAGGCGTTTGCGGCCCTTGGAGTTGGTAGTGCAACGTGGTACGCCACGTGAATCGAAGAACAAACGGCGTCGGGTGGCATTAGAGATAAGTTCTTTTGGTGGCAAACCAAGCACTTCCATGATGCAGGCCAGCTGTTCAACTTCATTCTCACCTGGGAAGAGTGGGAAGCCGGTGTAGAGTTCAGCGAGTATGCAACCTAAGGGGAGGATAAAAGAAATTTTTAAATTTTTTATAAACACATATAAATTGAGTGGAAAGTAATTTTTCAAAGGCAGCTTAAGAAATAAGTGTTCATTTATGTCCTTTAATTTAATTTTATTTTAGTTATTTTTTATAATTTCCTACAGTTCTTACGGTGTTGCTGCTTTGAGTGAAAGAACGTGTCGGGAGTGGTTTGAACGAATATTCACGGCGCCAAGGTTATGATTTGTATTTGGTGGGATCAGCTCAGTGTGATTTACTACAAGCTCTTAAAACCATCACAGGAGATCGCTACCGAACGCAACTGATGCGCCTTAGTCGCGCGCTAAAAGAAAAGCGGCCACAATATCAAGAGCGACATGACAAAGTCAACCTCCAACACGACAATGCTCGGCCTCCCGTCGCAAAAGTGGTTAAAAAGTACCTGAAAACGCTGAAATGGGAAATCTTGCCCCACCCGCCATATTCCCCAGATGTCGCCCCTTCTGACTTAAACCTATTCCGTTCGATGACACACGGCCTGGCAGATCAACATTTTCAATCCTTCGAAGAATTGGAAAAATGGATTGCTTCATGGATAGCGTCAAAAGAGGACTCCTCTTTTCGAGCCGGTATCCGAAAATTGCCGGAAAGATGGGAGAAAGTTGTCGCTAGCGAAGGACAATACTTTGAATAATATATCTGTATGCACTTTTTCGTAATTAAGCTTTTAATTTTGGAAAAAAACCGCGGAAACAAAGTTGTACACCTGATAGATTTATTTTATTTTGTTTATTGTATTGAATTTTTCATTTCTTTTCATTGCATTAGTATTCATTTTATTTTATTTTGTTTTTCATAATTTGATTTTTTTTTTTTTATTTTAAATAGTTATTTAAATTTAATTTTAATTCATTTCATTTAATCATTTTTGAATTAATTTATTTATTATGTATAAAAGTTAATTTAATATAATATAATTTAATTCAAATTTTAATTTTATTTTCACTTATTTTAAATAATTTTTTGTTACTATTTTAACCCTCCGACCTTCGGTAGTTTACTTTGATTTTTAACGTAGTAATAAAAAAAAGAAGACACATCTCGATTCTTTATGCCAGAAGAATGCCGAATAAGCAATTATGCAGAAATCTTGCTATTCATATTTATATTTATTAGCTTTGAGGCAGCTGTTGGTAAGTCCAATGCATTAAAATACCAAAAACATGCTTAAGTGACCTTGACTTTGAATATGATGTCAAGTATGGTCAATAGTGATGACGAATTTTGGTGCATTGGATGTAGTGCTTTGCAATCGATATGAATCCTCGAGTACAAAAACAAAGCACTAAGAGCAGACATCACTTCCTTCAAATATGGGCTGATATTATTGAATAGAGATGGTAGAACGAAAGAGTAAATTTGCTTGTAAGCTTAGTTACTGGACGTTTATTAAAATTGTGATAGAATAGTCGATGACATGTGACCTTACCATAATTGAGAAGCTTTGTTTATAATCTTTGAATAAACAAATTTTATATAAATGACGAACAAATGAGACCGCAATAATCGACCGGTTAGCAGTGCGTACTCTCACTCAATCAGAGTTCTGATCTGACCAACAACCAAAATTATTTCAAAATTATTTTTTAATTTACGTCCCTTGGCAGGAATTGTAAAGCACTCAGAAAATATTTCTGATATGAAATAAAAAGCTGCTCATAAAACACGAGGGGTCATTCGAAGGCAGCTTAGAATGAACTGTAGGAGCTTTCATTTGTTGGAAGAGTAGCTTGACCTAAAATCGCTTTAGCGGTTACAGAGCGCCAATTATATAAGTATCATAGATAAGTTTATACGAGGGTCGCCTTTTATATTACGGAATTCGGCAAGACTAGTATTGGAATCTGGAAACTGACAACTTTATCGTAAAGTTAAACATTTCTTATGCCATACATACTGGGCTCGTTTTGACATAAGTGCGCTTTTTGTGATGTTTACAATAACATGAAATATTTATTCGGCCAAAAAATAATATTATATCGCGTATATTTTCGTACGATTATTTTTTACAATTTTTGACTTGGCTGAACTTAGCAACAGTGCATCGCTGAACTTAAATAAATTCCTGGCGATGAAGCTTTAAGCACTGGTCCATGTGTTTATCGTTACTATGGTGAATTCAAACGAGATCATAGATCACTCCAAGATAAATTTCGTTAAGGTCGTTTAAAATCATTTGCTGTTGCGGGAAGTATTGATTACGTTTGAGCAAACACAATTTGTCAATCGTTGAAAAAAAAGCGATCGTCGCATCGATTAGTTGCGAGAAGTCTTAAAAATACGAAAGCATTGCTTCGAAACATGTTCACGATATCATGGCAGATGATGAATCGTGAATTTAAGCGTATGAGCCTGAAAGTAAATAGAAGTCGATTGTATGGGTGTTTAAGGATGAGTCGGATCCAACAAAAGTTGTTCTGCGCATGAAGCATATACAAGCAAATGGTTGCGCCCTTTTCTAGAGAAACTGAACATGTTCCAACTCTACCATTAGAGTAGCGCGGAACAGTAAATTTTGAATAGTACACAACCATTTGCTTGCCAGTTGTCTTTCACGAAAGGAAGAAACTCAACTGCGGAATACAGTTCCCTCTTCACCACGCCAATGCGAGCGAGCTCTCACACATCGACTGTAACAATTGCATTTTTGTGCACTCAAAACAACGATTTAATGAGTCATCCACTATGTAATGTTGACTTGGAATGGAATCATTTCTATTTATGAAAAATAAACTGAGAGGCCAACGTATTTCGACACTCGAAGAGCCGGGCGGTTGATGCGTTCAGAATTTGTACATATTATTATTATACATATTATGGAGACAGCTCAATCAGGATGGCGAAAGTGCTTCGACAATTGGTTTAAACGCATGAAAAAGTATGTAGATCTTAATGGACAGTATTTTAAAAAAACAATAGATATTCGATAAAAAAAATGTGTTTGTTCTTTTAGCCTGTATTATGGGCAGACAACAACCCTCGTATATAATATGTTATATTTTCAAAGTATTCTCAGCCCACGAGCGAATGAAATTCACTTGCTTAGGTGCAAAATGAGGAAGCTTCTCACTCCTCAACACACACTTTTGGCAGCAAACTTTTTATAAGCAGATATTCCCTTCCCCTACTGCATTATATTCGTAATAAGTGGAAAAACTTTTTTGGCAACAATATCAGTTGTCTGTTGCTGATTTCCATTTCTCTGTCGTAGTCAATAACAAAAATTCCATATATTCAAGTATTTTACGTAAGTACCAATACTTATATCCAGCAGCGCTTAAAAGCTTTTAGTTTCTAATTTCAATTATTTATATTGAATACGAGATGTATGTAAGTAAAAGAATAGTTTTCCTTTATTCAGAAGACACACATTAAAAAATGTTTAAAAATTGGCTTAATGTAAATGTTTGCGATGAAAGTATCAAGGGCATTTGCTGGCTATTTTTAGTAGAGCTGGTGACATTTTAGTTGAAAAGTTACCAAAATCTATATTATATAATAATATGTGTGAGAGAGAGAGATAGAGAATGAGAGATATTTTGAATACATATATGCAGTTAAAGTAATATAGTGCAGATACTGAAACCTAAAATGAAAGGTAAGTCAACGGAGACAGCGTTAAACGTAGCGGTATCACAAATTGAGAAATATATAATATCTGTGTTATGGAATACAGCCTAGTAGCTTTTGTGGATATGAAGAGTGCCTGCAATAATGTAAAACCGACTCTAGTTACTTCTGACCTGACTTGCCTGAGCGCCGGCTCTCAGATGATTTTTCTTCCACCTAATCGCTCGGATATAGGGTTGTAATATCTGAAACCGCGGAAGTATCAGCACTTAAGTATGTCAGCAGAGGAACTTCATATGTCGGATGCAGAGGATCTGGTGGTTATAGTGAAATCCCCACAAATTTGATGTGTTGTCATGCAAAGCAGACTACAAGGGATCGAAAAGTTGGCTATTGATTCTGGATTCGGCATCAACCCACTGAAAACAGAACTCTTCTTCTCTTCACTAGAAAATATTAAATTCCAATGCACTCAAGAACGGAGCTGCGTATTACTGAATCTGCAAAATATTTGAGACTCATCCAAGGCAGGAAATTAAGCTGGTCACAAAGCTCGAAAGAAAACATGTGTAAGGCGTCCATTGCCCTCTATGCTCTCCTAAAAGAGTGCGTTGGCTTAATGTTGCTGTTTTTAGGCCTATACTTCTCTATGGTGTTGTAGTTGGTGGCCAGAATTCGAGAAAAAATCAACCATCTCCAAATGAAATAGAAAGCAGCGGACAGCACTACGTCAGAAATGCCCTATTGGATCTACTGTCGATTGATTTTATAGGGCGCATAATGCTGTTTATGCCGCAGTAGAACAACTCTAGGGGAAATGATGTCCGAATGGCAGGTAATAAACTACGGTTATACTACCGGAAAAAACGGATTACTGCATGTCTTTTATTAACTAAAAAGGTAGTTATTCCGAATAGAAACCAATGAGACAGAATAATACCAACAAATCCTGACTAAGAAACAGGGTTTGTGACGGTGACGGAGTTTACTCAAGGGATCTTGATATTTGCAAATCCTTTCATTTACAGGGTCACTGTAGCTGTCAATTGTCTCAGCTCGATGGTGCTCTCAGAAATTCGTTTTCATATCTTTTCGGATAACCAGACCGAGCTAAGAGTACTTTAATCTGTAACAGTAAATCGAAGATCGTAGAGAATCATGGAAGAGTTTAGGCAAGCTCAATATAGGAGATGCGTACTCAAGATAGAGAAGTTACACTACGTGAATTGTGACCAGCATAATATGGCCTGAATGGAACAGAAGAAGTCAAGTAAGGAAAGGATATATCTACAGTTATAGGCCATCTTATATGGCAAATTCTATTGGGTAGGCACGCAAAGTGGTTGGGCGTACCCTCTAATGGCTTCTACAGAAGTTGCAGGC